TCGTCCCCTTCATACTCAGTATCAGGGCTTTCTTCGCCCTCGACCAGATGCCTGGTGTCTTGTCTTCTGTCTCTGTCAGTACTTGACTCGCTTTGGACTGGAGACTGGTCGAAGAGGCCTGGTAGGGGCGAGTCTCCTCAGTCGAGGAATACGCCCCGGGTATCGGTGATGTCGATGGAGTCGACTGACTCGGCGGTAGCGCTTCTGTAGGAGTTGGTGCTTGACTCTGAGTATCGCGAGCTGGACCATGACAATCCGTAGAGGGATTCTCCAGGTCCCCTGGAGGCGTTTGACTCGACATCTTGTAGAGTCTGTTGAGATGCTGCGGGAATGTGAATTACCGGCGGTGGGTATGCAGGAGTGCTGGGAACATAATGGAATGGGAGTTGTGCACGGACTCTCCTCTGTTGTCGAAAACAGCGGTGTAGTCGGTACAAAATAATGGACAAGAAAAAGAGTATAAAAGTCGTGAAGACTGTGGGAATGGCGTCAGACCAGGGCATCCGTTAGTGAGTCTATCCTTCATACAGCCCAACAGTTACGATTAACCATGCGACTGTTAGAACAGGGTAAAGTTCACTAGTCGTTATCAGCATGATGACGGCCGATAAGACGACTGCTTGCACAATGACGGGGAACGGCGTCAGTTTGAAAGAGAGAGGTGTTTTTTAAAGTCAGATGATTCCGATGAAGAGTGCTATGAGGTAGGCTGTGAACAAGGGGGCCGGAATGTAGAATCGACACAGGATAATGGTAATTGCTACTCTCGCTAACACTGAGGCTAGCGGGTCTCGCAACAAGAAATGCAGAACCGAGAAGGCGACTGCAGTGAATAGGATGTAGGGGAAAATGTTGGGCAACGTATGAACGTCAGGCAACAGGTGTCGAGCTTCGGCTAAATGTTAACAACCAACTAATAATCAACTTAGATCAAGCTAGGATCCCCACTCACACTTCGGTGGATGATACTCTAGCAGGTCAAAGGTGATGTCAAAGCGGATTGCGGGCACATAGACATGAAGAACGGAGTTCGAGTTGGGTAGATTAAACCTTAGCCGAAGCTGGGGTTTAGACCAGCGGAGGCTCTACTTAAATACAAGTGGCTACGCTAATAATAGTACTGTGAGAAATGATCCGTAGGGATCGCATATGAGTAATCAAGCTGAGTAAAACGAAGAAAAATGAATAAACTGTAACATCGGTGATGGTGATAATTGTTTGGGGTAGGACTTCGGACTTGGGACAGGGGGAAGGCCAGACAAAGTCTGACTCATGGATGGACTTGTCATCCCACCAGAATGGGGGCCCTTCAATTCTGTAGGTTCCATCGGGGGTGTATGACGCGAGAGAGGTTGGAGCGTCATACCACTCCAGCTCAGGAGATTCATCTCTTTGATGTCCTCCTGTGTCAGGTATTCCCCGTACTTCCCCTCATTCCCGGGCAGGGAGGAACGGGTTTTCACCTTCTTCGAAGGTGGTTCTTCGTCTGGTTCATCCGTGGATGATTCGATCGAATATGTCGCAGTAGAACCCACTTGTTCCTCTCTGGTAGAGACGCTCTCCATCATCGTCGAACCCTGGGATGGCTGCAGATAACTCTGTGGAGGCAATGGATGGCTCCTTGGAGTCATTGTCATCACCTCATGTCGCGTCATCCCAGGATCTGTCCGCGTTGGTCCAGCACTCGGCGGTAAATCTGGGGTCGACTCGGTCGTCTCCATCGTCTGGAGGGATGCTGAGTCGTCCGAGCTCTTCTTCCCGAAGGGATTCTTCACCTTCACTGTCTTGGTAATCCTCTCCCTGAAGCTCGAGCATGGGGGGTTGCTCTTCTCTGTCGGGTAAGGGGCATCGAAGTGCATCTCGCTCCCCCCTTGGCTGGGGTGTGAGGGACCAGAGCCGGACGGTGCTGGTTGTTCGTGAGGTTCCTGTTGATGAGCCATTGAGCCCATGTACTCTCCCTCTTCTGGGGGTCGGTGCTCTTTGGCAGCGGGTTGGTCAGAGGATATGAAGAACTGCGACTGCAGTTACTAGTGTCAAGATGCTGAAGGTACTTCCAAAGATAATGGCGGTGCGGTCTGAGGGGGTGAGCGGCATAAAGTTCGTTGTACCACAACGAATGTTTATGATCTCGGGGGATGGTGGGTGCCGTTTTTCGAATAATGGGCTGAAGGGTTCTTTTTCTTTTTGGAAGTATAACAGTGACTGCCTTGAAGCGGTACAGTTACCATTTGCAACGGTAAGGGTAGTAAGGGCAAGCTTCGGCTAATTGTTAAGCACTAACTCAAACCTTCGCCAAGGCTGATCTCTATCCTGTCACTCGCGTTCGGTGATTCAGTGTTAGAGAGGCATTGGTAGATTGCGAGAAGTTAGGCATCACTTTATAGCGAAAGCAAGGAGCTTGTAAGAGTTAGGAGTATATAACCTTAGCCGAAGCTGGGGTCTGAGGCCACAGCGTAGGCTAGCTTAAATACATGTTAGACTCGTACTAAGAACAGTATCTACAAGGGCGCGTGCAACGAGAAGTGCGTCTTTCAATGAATGAGGAGGGAGGACACTAAAAGAAGTAGGCTCCCGATGAATGAGAGTAAAGAGCACATATCACCTGCATCTGTGTGGGACTCCGTCTGAATAGGCTACATCCTGTAGACCGCCCTTGACTGGCGGTCGACTCTTGTCCAACTACTAAGAAGCATGATGCCATCAAGAGAAGCATGATGGCGCATGCAGGTCGCTGGTCATCTGGGAGGCGGCAGCATGAACTGGGGTGACGGCAGCCAGGTAACCGGGTAAAGAGTGTGCTGGTGGAATATCATGGGTCCGAGAGATAAGATAGGCAGGTCCGGGGTTCCGATGGATAAGGATAAGATAAGATAAGGAAAATAGGGGTAAAACTGTAATACTTTAAGTCATGTTAAGTGTATTGTGAAATGTTGTGGACACTTGTGTGTTGCATGCGATGTCTTTTGAGGGTTATACATTCTTGTAGAACGTTTGAGGGCTTGTGAAATAATACCTTTGCCTTGAGGCCAAGCGATTCTGTCACTCACCTCCTGTTCCAAAAGCATTTGGACTTAGAAGATTATTATATTGCTAAGTGCGCTATATTATATTGTAACATGCAAGAATTCTTTCAATACTACTGCTATTGTGTGCTTGTATCGCACATCACCCCTGAACTACTGAGGGTTTGTGTGTGTGTGAGTGTGGGTGTGGGTGTGTTAGTGTTATATACACTAGTGCATTTCTAGCTTGGCACACACAGAGCCTCTTCACTGGCTACACACCGCATGTGTACCTTTAGCTACCTTTCATCCATCTACATGTATGATATTTTTGAATTCATGAAATTGATTGAGGATTTGGACTTGCCATGATTGCAACAGCCTCCTGTTGGATATTGTGAGCAAGCTTACGGGATCAATAGCATGTGGCTGGACCATTACATAATATACATAGAAAATTTCTCTACCTACATTCTCTTGCCGTTTACCACGACATACATACTGGCAAACATAGCTATTCTTTTCTACCTTCGCCCGACCTCGTTATAACACCTCCCACTTGATTTACATGGTACAATGTATGCAGTAGGGAATATTTTCATTTTCAAGACCTAATGCACATGCAGGGATGGACAGAAATTTGAATGGAGAGTAAAAGCATAGCATATCACAGCTTGGATTAGATGTTAGATTGTGCAAAATGTGAGCTGGCAGCACGGCTGCTGAGCGAGCTTTTTGCATCACCACATTTCCAGTTTAATTTAAATCAAGCTGTATTATATTTCAGCCTGAACGTTCTGAACAAGCACGTTCACACAGATTTACAAAAAGGACATAACTTGCCACTGCCATTTCTTCGTACAAAAGGAAAGAATCGGGGACCCGGCAACTGCCACTACTGGATCATTACTGTTACTTTCTTTCTTCCTTCCCCTTATGTTCTTTATCTCGCTCTCCATTTTGCTCTTCTCCCATGACACCAACAGTGCGCATGACTTTGCTCTTCATGCCAGCTTCCTCACATATAGTAACGACTACTGGCAACTCTAAAGAGCTCAGACAGAACGAAATGTGTTGGATTTGAACCATTCTGCTCCTCAGCACGAGTTGTCATACATTCTACTATACATTGCATGTATTTTACCGATGAAAATGACTTGTATATCACATCTGTCATGTTACCTCACCCTTCAACATCTGATGCATCTCATCCACACCATGCATCTCTTCAGCCTCACCTCTTGCAATGAACGATGAGGTGGTGGCAGACATCCTAAGGCTGAGTACCCAGATACAGCAAATGATTTCTGAGAGAGCGGAAGCCTGGCATCCAGATAGACTGAGGCTGGATCAATCTCCGACATACAGGGAAACTGTTACAGAAAAAGATGGCTCAGAAGAAACGTGATTACCGTTCTACACTCAACATTGATATTCCTTTAGCATAATATTAATTTAAATGTGCTTGAGATGAGAAGCGAGAATTGTACATATTGTACTAACAAACTAAATAGCATAAGCATCCATAAGAACTACCACTACCTTATTTCAATGAGAGTCACTAATGAGTTTCAACAGTGATTCCTCGACTATGGACACTCCGATTATGAACATCACATTTATCTTGATACATCTACTCTACCCTCTTCTACATATTCTGGAGGAGGATCTTGGTCATTATGGGGCGCCTGTACTGATGCTCTCTCAGTGATGAACTGCTGTATCCTGTTCCACTGCAACTTTTGGATCTTTCCAGCTCTTCCCTATTTCATTGTCTGAGGCGAGGCTGTCTGTGGTATCTGTTCCATGGCAGGGATTGGTAGTCTCTCCTAGACAGACGACGATATACCTTTTTGGTGGGATGAGGACGGTATATGTAGTCTGTTGGTTAACTCGATCAGGTCCACCAGCAGTGACCTTATTATGTAATTTGATGAAATGTGACCATTACGCATCAATTAATTGACACGATCATTTTATTATCTTTGCTTCTATCACATGACTCAGGCATCGCTTCATACCATGGTTCCTCCATCAGCCTCCAATATACCTCAGAAACAAAAATACAACAAGAATGCGACCGCAAAACTTGATATTCCTGTCCTAAAGCCATATAATTATCATGATTCATCACAATACTCCCTCTCATCTGTCAATGAAACTACAGCATCAGTCTCTGTCACATCTGAAAATTCACTAATATTATTTCAAGCACCTGCTTCACCAGAAGATTCTCCTGAGACAGCATCGTCATCTTTTCTTCCCATCCCGTCCTCTGCAGAATCTCTACCAGGTCTTTCTAAAGCACACAGACCATATCGGCGAATTCCAGAACTTGTCGTACCCATTCTTCCCCCGTATATCCAATCACTTAGCGCTGCTGTAGAGCTTAGAAGTCCATTGTCACTATGACAACCATTATCAAAAGGATTAGCTACAACCAGACCATCTTTTCAACAAAGGTATCAAAGTTCTGGACGGTGGAAAACTTAAAACATTCATCAAGAAATCAATTGCAAATGCTGAATTCATCCGCAGAATAATAGAAGCACAAAACTCGTCCTTGCCCAGTATATCCGATGCCACTCTAACCCACGATCCTGCTGTAGAAGACCATGACACTGGAGACACGAATCTGGATCGGAACGAGCTTGAAGATGAGCAGACCTCTCCCGATGAGCTAGATGACAGTGAGCGGCAGCTTAGAAGCAGGGTGTATGGTGCAGCATATCTGGATGAAGATGGAGAAATGGTTTACGGTGATGTAGAAGGCGAGGATGAATTTGTCGACAATGAAAGAGAGTCCGATGCCGAAGAACTGAACAGCGTGGAGCTGGGAGGAACTGCTAGCAAAGACGAGAGCATGTGGTTTTCTGATGATATTCTGGATGGAGACTCTGATGATGGTATGGCTATTGAAGCTGACGACTAGCTCCTTGTTCTAGATAAACCAGCATATGTGAGCATCACTAAATAAATCATGGTTTGATGGTCACATAGTCCTTCCTTCCAGTGTGGGATTCGGCGAGATACGATGCGTTTGAGCGCGTCTGATCCTTCAGAGGTCTTCCATGAATAAATACGAGGCATAATGAGGGTATATTGACAGCATCGCGGGACGTGGGCAGCAGAGAAAGGCAAGGGACCTCCTTTCCACAGCATGACATAATTGCTAGATTATGTAAAATTATGTAATAGACCCAGTCACGGTTGACTTGGGCATGGCAACTATCAGACTAAGGGATTGGAGAGTCCCTTGTCCAGGTGGAATTCCTGGAACTGGAGGATTGAAGGAGGGTGCGGGGATTCCACGTGGGGTGGTCTTTGGTCTTTGCCCCGGATGGACTTCTTTTTCTTCATCTTCGACCCCCAATTCCATGATATTCGAGGTTATGGATGTTGGCATCATTGCATTGACTGATGCTGCTACAGACGTGTTTGTTCCTCATAGCTTGCGCATTATACCATGCTGTTGATTCCGGAAGGAAGGCCCCTTGATAGCGCAGCCAAGTGGGCGAAACGCCGACTGGTGAACGAACCTAAGTACCTATGACCAGTGCTGTCAAGCTATTGTTGACGTCACTGCAAAGCCTGCAGAACACGTCCTGAGTACCGACGCCAATGTTTTTTGGGACAAAGTACAGGAATCCCTTAGTTGCCAACTACCAACAAGCATTGCAGAAATGTTCATCTGGAACACTGCTACGTAGCCTACTTTATTTGAATGACAGTCACTAGCAAGTAACAACAATGTCATTACAGCGGATCTGCTAAAAAAACCACTATGAAAGCTTGATTTAGGAGGATGATCACATTTCTCTCAATTCATCTTCTGAAACCTCTGATACATATGCTGGAGGTGGATCCCGGTCACTATCTGGTGCCCATACTGACACACTTCCCATAATGAGCTGCTGTATCTGGCCCTGCAACCTTAGGATCTCTCCAGCTGTTTCATCGTTCATTGCATGAGGTCTGAGGGCTGAAGTACTTGGGTGCAATATCGGCTCTTCATTGGGAATTTGATGACTGTCCGGTTCGGCTAAACCTCCAGAAAGCGAGGGTGCGGGGGAATGATCACGTGGGGATACGGAGATCGACACCCGCCTTCTCCCCTTGCCTGGTACATGGTCCATTGACTCTTCATCTTCGATTCCCAATTCTGCCATCCCAGAGTTTATTGATGACAAAATCGGTACTTCGGGCCCTGATTCAACTTGAACTGAAGCTGGTACAGGCACATCTCGTCCTCGCAGCTTGTGCATCACGCCATGCTCCGGATCTTGGGGGAAAGGCTGTATTTGTTGATCTCGAAATGCAACGATGGATCTGGGTGATGACCGGTGGTTTCGATTCCTGTGTATGTGGCGATAAAAAACTACTCCTACCGAAAGGAGGAGGAGGAATAGTATAGGGCCAATCACGGCTCCAATGATTGTCGATGTGTTGCGTGGTTTATGCAAGTAGGAGTTGTTAGATGTAGACGCAGGGGTCGTGGCAGTTCTAAAAGTAATATTTGTGTTTACAGCTGAAGCACGAATTCCTAAAAATGCGCACGTTGAAGGTCTACCCGCAATCAAACTGCTTTCATTGATTTGGGAAGTGCTATTGAAATGTGAAGTGTGAGTGACATGTATGTATGGATTTTGCGGCAACAAAACGAACCTCTGAGCCATTGATTCTCCAGATGAGGAACTTGAAGTAGAGCTCGGTAACGTCGATTCCAAAGAGATGCTGTAGCTCTGCGTACTTACTACGTCCGAAGAACTGGACCTTACCACGAAGAAATCAAGTGTCACTTTCGTTATCGGTCATGGAGAACAATGGACATACACAGACGTTGTTGTGAGACTGGGACCAATTCCGGATTCCGGATTACTAGCAAAAATTGACAGGCTCTCCGTTATCGGTCTGCTATTGTCGGCTATCATATCAATAGTATACTCTCTGAGGTATGAAATCGTGAAATTGAATTATGAGACTTGAGAGGTCCAAGTTACGGGCCACGAACGCACCCAGGAGATGGAAAATTGACTGCCACTGTCCCCTCGGTGGTAATATTATCCGGGGGTGTGAAAGGTATTAGATCCCCTTGGCTGAACTGCTGGGAGCTATTTCTTCGCTCAAAGTGAAATTCTTGTGGGTCACTTTGGTCCCTATGCCAGGTCAGAGTGAGGGGTGTCCCAACAGTCGCATTCCCTTCAACAGGATCGAAACGAAAACCGGCAGAAACAGTAAAATGGAAACAAAATCTATCCTGTAAATTTGAACGGTTCTCCACTGTAGTAATGGGATGGAATGCATGACTTACATAATAAACTGGACCAGCATACTGCCGCAGCTAGCCAGCAAGTGAGACGCAATAATGGTGTATGCGCAATAACTGATAGAGGGAGTGCCGCGGTCGAACAAGAATATAGTATGGAATCAGCTGCACTGCCTCTGAGTATTGCTTGGCAGAGACCCTATCAGTGGTCTGGGAGACGGGTAGTACATCAGCGTTGCGATACGAACATTCGAATGAATGATAGTTGATCTCTGTATCAGTCAGGTATGGGATGTACAACAGAGAAGCTATTCTTTGTGAAGATACAACAAATTCTGATATGCAAAGGAGGATTGTGAGCAGCTGACCACTGGCAGGAGGGAGAGAATCAGATGTTGTTGCGGTCTTTGATCTCAGTCTTGAATTTTCATTGCATGCATCACGCGTTAATATGCCAACTGGTACCCTATTCAGTACGGTCGATGTTGGAAGTATTAGCGCTGTGGCTTTTATGCTTCCTCGTTTTACACCCGCAACTATCACCGGTGTCTCCCCTTCTCTAACGAGACGGTTGCAATGTGTGTACCAAAATAATACTAGACACAGCAGCTTACATAGCCAACAAGTGAAGCTGCTGATCATTACGGTGTCAGTCACCGTCATTAATCTTCTCGACATTGTTCAAGTTCTTCCTTTAGATTGCTCGTACGTATTCGCTGCTTATTCTCGCGGCATTTAACCTAGAACTGTCGCATAAAAGGATTGTACTTATGTGGTGTACACCACCTCGTTTTTAACGGGAATTCTTGCTGCCGTAAGCCTCACTATTCGAATAAATGAATGTAGATTTCCATCCGAGAAAGTAATGACTGCAGAGAAAAGTTTGAATTTCAAGTGTAAACTCAGAAACGTACAGAAAACATCTCTATGAGTGATGTAAACGCTGGTGACCATTTGAACTCCCGGGCTTCCTTTCGGAAAGAATTCGCAGGGTGGAAAGGAGAGAACAGCGCGGGGAATACAGCCTCCTATAAATACTACGTGATCTACGAGGATTATAGTCACCAACGTTGCGCGGAGACTCACACATGGAAAGGAATGTCAGTCATCCCAACCTGTGGGACAGGGGGGGCGAAAGAGAGAGTGACTTATGAATGATTTGCACGACCTTCAATGGTCATAAGCACCGAATGTGAGGTGATGGCTTGAATACGAGTACGTTAGACTGTTACATTCCGTCTATTTGATAACTAAAGTACCTAAAAAGTATTATTGCGCACGAACGCATCTTTGTCAAGCTCGCACATGCACACGCAAGCCTGACAAACGCATGCATTTAAACGCAAACGCACGCACGCAAACGTGAACGCAGAATTCTACGCGCCCGTTATTGTCGCCGGTAAACCAAGCTTCGATTTTGGGTGCAGATGGTTCGGCCTTCTTTCCGTCAATGAGGTATATGATCTGCGCCACACATAGAAAGTCGCGTCCACGAGCTTTACCCCAAGGGACGTGCCCTTCGAGACCTTCAGGCGACGCGAGCTTATCTTGCACCTCACGAATCAGGGAAGCCAAAGGTCCGGTGATAGCTTGCAGACGTTCGGCTGGCGTGAGTGCTACACCTAGCTGGACACGACGGAAGATTTCGCGTTCTTGGTCCTGGGTAAGGTCGTCGTACTCGACGCAGGTGATTTGGGTGTTGCTGAAACGGGACTTGAGCTGCATGGGAAGTATGGTGCGAGATCTGGTTCTTCCGGCTCCGCTGCGGCTGATGTACCAAAATTTGCCTTGGGTGACGGAATCCTTGTCTGGTGAATGCGTTAGGAAATGAAGAGAGGAATGAGCAGGGAGGCGTACGCATGATCTGCTGAAACGTCAGCTGTAGGACAAAAACATGAAAAGAAACACGCACATGACCATCTATAAACCGCCTAATCGAAGACAACCTTTGTTTCCCGTCAATACATGTCCGCTTCTCCTCTCCCTCTGGGGTCAACGACACAGCTAGCATGCACGAGTGAGTCAAACGAAAGGCTAGGCAGAGCGACACGCACCGAAAATCAAAGGTGGTATATAGTAATTGTGAATGAGCGAGTCGATGAGTTGGCTTTGCTTCGAGTCACTCCAGACGACGTCTACCGAAAATCAGGGGGTAAGATCAAGACAGCCAAAAGACGCGACGCACCTCTTTGGTATTCGGGCTCCAAATCCAGGGACTTGTCGCAGAGTTTCTCTGCGCAAGTTCAGTCGATATCAGACAGTAAAAAATGAGCCTGACGCACTACACAAAGACTCCACCGAATACGAAACCGTTCTAGGTGCACGTAGTGCCGGGCGAATAATTGGTTTTTTACTGCGCGTCTGCGGCTTCTTGGTTGGCGCCAGAGGTACGTTCTCTTCGTCCGAAGAGAGGTCGGTGAGGTCGGAATCGTCAGAGAAGGACATGGTGGTCAGTGGTAAAAGGCGGAAACAGCAGCCCCCCTGCCTAATTAGGCTCGCGGCTGTTTTGCCTTTGTCTCAAGCCGCTATGACCTCCCAACATGGCCATACAAAACGACCGTATTGTTTGCCTTTTTGTGTCTACGTAATGACCAGGCGGCAGGCTCTGTTTGGATCCGGAATCTGCGGCTGGTACGACGGCAGTGGCGGAAGTGGTACTTGGAAGACGGGGATGCTGGGATTTTGGCGTGCATGGGGGTACGAAGACAAGATTTTGGAGTGGCCGCAGCGGTCCTTCGCGACCCGGATCACATAACGCCGAGGGATGGTGCGGTGCCTTTATGCGCACAGACCACCTTTCGCGATCAAGGCTGTGCTAAAACTAGTCGGCCGACCGTCACCTGGTCTTGTGTTCACAAGTACTAAATTTCTGGTCCTTCTGACCAAGAGATCGTGTACACCCCTGGGTCTTGGCTTATTTGTAACGGTGTTGGCAACGACAGGAACTCAGTTCATATCACGGCGGTGTCGGCAGTTGCGCCTTTTAATTGGCTCATATAATTGTATGGAGAGCGTCATATCATTTCCTCTAATTGTGAGACCTCACCTGAGTGGTACTTCTGTTGGAGATGTTATCAGATCATGGATGTAAGCTCATTTCTGATATATAGCCTTCCAAGTGCGGCTACGACCTCAATTTGCTCATCACGCGTTGCGAATACGCCGGGTCGTGATGTTTAAACTATTCTTGTTGTCACAGCTGTAGATCGAATAGCCACATGCTTGTACGTAGCAAAGAAGTCTTTCAATAGTTTTGGAGCTGATGATCACGCACGGCACTACAAATATTGGTTTATTTGAGGTATTTAAGAGGATTAATGACCTCTAACAGTATGAACCCCCCACAATGAATGAAACCGAGTCCCCATTCCATCAAGGGATGATCACCTATCGGTGACAGTGAATATGTATATCTCCAATCCTTGTACTTATCTCACTTGTTTTCGCAGCCTTATAATACTAGCCTAAATATTTTTGAAGGAACCGATCCCTGCCACGATTATCACCCCTTATTATCGCGGATATACGGTTCGGATTAACGGAATCCCAATGGAGACAATCATATATAGCCCTATCAGTGCCACCGACATCACAATCGTTCTTCCTAACCCTACGTCCAGCGAAAGATCTAAATCCTGGCATGACATTGAGCCAACCCCAATTTCAACGTCAGTGTGCTCATCTTTACATCCGCTTTACTTACTTATGATCTTTACCAGTACTAGTACATCATCACCTACCTTCAGTTCACTCAGTTCTGAACCAACCTCCACCACAGCGAACACCGTCTCTTTAGAATCGTGCGTAAAAAGGGAATTCCTAGGCACAACGCTTCTTGATTCGTTCTCTCTCTCATAGGTCTTCCAGCGGGGAAACTTCGAATTCTACGTCAGTTTGAGCTACCTTGAACTTCTGTTCGAATGCTCATAGTTCTGGTCCTTTGCTCTAGTATCCATTCACACTCTGCTATACGTCCTAGCCAAACATCCTTAACCAGCACTATCCCAGCCGATACCACATCTGCATCTCCGTGAGTACCGCATCTACCTAGTACATATCTCTGAATTACATTTAGATCCGCAACACCACCATATGACTCACTGTTATGGATATCGGGGTCTTTTCCGAACTAAGCACGAGTCAACATATGCCTGCCCTCGGCCTTCTCGGCTTTGACCTCGGCCTACTGGTATTTTCTCTTATTTTCTCTATTCTTCTTGCTGATACTAGAATACTACGGAACATTGTAGAATTATAATGACTCAATGCCTTACTAGTAGCATATAAATATTGTCTTTACCGTTGTATTAGAATCTTACACTAATTTTACTCATCTTCGAAGTCCACTTAACTGTGTGAACTAAGCATCTCTGATCGGTTACGCCAAGCGCTTGCCAATCAATTGCTTCCCGACTACGCCTAGCGCTTTTCGGAAACCCTGTTAGTTACGCCTAGCGCTTGCTGACGCCCCGTTAACTACGCCTGGCGCTTGTTAACACTCTTACGGATCCCTCTTGGTGGTTGGAACTCGGCTTTCGGACATCCTCGCTCTCAACTTAGGTTTTACTCGAGTATTCATTACTTCGTGTATTAGCTCGAAATACCCTGATTCTTAACACTCACAGAAACCGCCGCACCCATCGACGTCGACAATAGTCGGAGCTGTCCTTGGTTCCATAGTGTTCTTACTTCTCCTTTCGCTAGGAGTCGTATTTCTCCGACGTGCACACAAAACCCAAACACGGTGCGTAAAATCACCCGAGCCTGTATCCAGGCAAGTTCGGGTTTCCTCCCAAGAGCAAGATGAAGGGAAAGGGAGGAGGCTCATGACGGAGCCGCCCGTGTCATTGGATGATAATGCCCCTGAGCCTGGGCATGAACCCTCGTTGTCGGGAAGCGCGGCTGAACAAGAGGATGGGGATCGGCAAGTTCTTGCTGAGGAGACGATATCGCATTCGAGCACTTCAGTGTCGCCTCATGCAATGAACGATGAGGCGGTAGCAGAACTCCTGAGACTGAGTACCCAGATACAGCAGTTGATTGCTGAGAGAGCGGCAGCCTGGCATCTAGATAGAGGGCTGGATCCGCCTCCGGAATATGTGGAAGAAGATGACTCGAGAGAAATGTGATTACTATTCTACATTTAACGTTGATAGTTAGTTCTTCGATGTGATCAGCGTGTTATTGCCACTGTGATGCCAGGCGCCCGAAAGCCTTGTTCCCTTGCTGCTTTTGTATTCGATCCGAATACTTGCTTATTCTCTGTCTGGCTTCGGGTTCTTGCTACCCTACAAAACTTTTGCACCTTGATAGACACACGCAAGCTCAGAGATTCTAATACCTCTAGATCTTGGCCCCTCTGTAACTGCGCTCAAAAAATAATGTTAGTAAATTAAGTAATTCCAACAAGACGCCGTAACCGTGACTGTCGGCATGCCTTTACCTATCTTTCTCTTCGCCATTATGACCGCCTTACTCTCTATTGACCAGTAGGTCATAACTTTGTGCCGGTATACTACAGTAAACCAAGAATTAAATGAGTATTATGCTGAAAGAAATTATATCGAAGAACTAATTATCAATATTAAGTGTAGAGTGGTAATCACGTTTCTCCAGAGCCATCTTCTTCAACAGCTTCCACGTATGCCGGAGGAGGATCTGTCTCGCTGTAAGGGTTCCATACTGATGCTCTCTCGATAATGAGCTGCTCTATCTGGGTACGCAGCCTTAAGATCTCTTCTGCCGTTTCATCACTCGCCGACATTGGCTGAGGCGAGGCTGAAGTGCTCGCGTGCGGTATCGTCTCTTCGGAGGGAATCTGAGGATACTCTCGTTCATCCACACTTCTCGAAAACGACGGCTCTAAGGCATTCCCATCCGAGGACATGGATACCGATGTTGTCCGCCGGCACATCGCCTGCCCTCTTCCTTTACCAGGCGGATCGGCACCTTTGGAGGAATGCCGTGTTCGTTTGCGTCGAGGCATGACTACAGGGTCAGGCGATGGGACACGGTTTTGGATTTTTCTCGCACGGCGAAGAAGAATTATTCCTAGGGAAAGTAGTAGCAAGAATACTACAGGACCAATCACCGCTCCGATTATTGTGGGAGTCTGCGTTGGCTTATATGAGTCAGAGCTATGTGATGAGCTCCTGGGCGTGAAAGTGTAATTCATATGATGGTAGGATATCGCATGAGACTGTCGTACTCACGGAAATGAGGATGTAGTAGCACTAGTAGTGACCCTCGTCGCTGACGTTCCGCTGGAACGTAAAGTTGATGATGATTGCGTTCTAGAAAAAAATCCATGACGACTTATAAGCATTCAAATAGAGCTAGGGACAATGCGAACCGACATAGAAGTTTCTCCAGAATTGTCATGGGTAGTGCTAGTGAGCGCCGAGGTCCAAGCGACAGACCTTCCAGTGAGAGAATGTATCAAGAAGCATTGGACCTATACACGCATGATGTTAAGGAGATAGTGCTCTCTCTAGTAGAGGTAGATTCCAAGTCGGATGACCCCCTGACAGGGAATGTGTGTAATATTAGCAAGCAAAATGACTTTAAAGCTAAGCAAACTGACGCGAAAATTGACGTTGCTTCAGGACTCGGGTTACTAATTGAATAAGTCGCTTGGATGAAGGGCGGATCGTTGGGAAGACTGGCAGGTCCAGGGCCAAATCTGGGCATATATGTGGTCGTTTCCATTAGTATTCAGTCTGAGAATCTTGGATCTGTGGAAATTGAGTAGGAGTAATGAGGGACTAACTATCGCCACTTGATTGTCGTTATATATCGTATTGGTATCTGCAAAGGAATGGGATTCAAGGACTGTCATAGGATTGTTCAAAGCTATTTGTTTGGGTGAGGTGCATCTGTTGGATAACACGCGCACCGTGTGCTCAGGCACGTTTGCCTAGCGAGTAGATAATGTTTGCTTAGAAGGCAAACGAGTACAGGACACTACGAAATCTAGCTACTTAAATACCATTTTGTATCTTCTAGTACTTTCTTTCTCTTAGTAAACCTTTACTCAGCAAAACTCGGGCTAACTGGACATCGCGCCAGCTCGCACAGCCACAGGGTCATCAATATTCCACAGCATCTCATGATATTTGTTGAGATACCTCTCTCTCAACCCTTTAGTACGATCATCAGACCCAAACCTGGTGAAAGATTTCATTAATTACCTAATACCAATACATGCAGTCATATATACACGCTATTACGAAGGCGAAGAATATCTATGGCCGTCATACTCAGTTATGCACGACGATCAATTGAGGTCGCCACCGTCCACTTAGAAAGCTGTACATCAGAGACGTGTCCGCATCTGATAACAAGTCCATTAGAAGCACTAGTCAAGTAAAATAAGAATATATGAATCTAAATACTGCTTGATTACTGATATGAGATGAGACAATTAGCAGGCTAAATTTCATTCCTAAAGTACTGTAGGGATAAATGACGTCGGTGTTTTGGTGTTCTGTGTTGAGCTCCAGTCGCTGCCAGCTGTTGTACTTCCCATTAAAAAAAAGGATTTCAGACAATTTTCGGTGTTGTGTCCAGCACGGAGATATATGGGACGTCGAACAGGGTGTTATAAATAACTTGAACTCGGATATCAGAGGACTTGAAGATCCAATTCAAATAGAGGAATATATTTAAGCATAGGCTTCCTTTTTTTGGCGTAAAAAGAACTATAATGTTGACCTGTGCTAACGAACTAAATAACATACGCATCCATAAGAAACACTACTATGTTCTTTGAATGTGAGTCGCAAGTGGGTTTCGACAGCGAATCTGCTACAAGTCGACTATGAGTGCTTCGTTTATGAGGATCACCACGTTTATCTTGATACATATGTAATAACTTCTGATACATATTCCGGAGGAGGATCCTGGTCACTATGTGGTTCCCGTACTGACGCCCTCTCAGCAACGAGCTGCTGTATCCGGTTCCACAACCTTTGTATCTCTCTGGCTCTTCCCTCGTTCATTGAACGAGTCGAGGCTGCGCGCGGTATCTGTTCCTCGGCAGGGATTTGGGGACTCCCTTGTTCACCTGCAATTTCTGAAAACGGAGGCTCGAAGGCACGATCCGAGGGTGCAGAGGTTCCGCGCAGGATGGACAATCGTCTTTGCTCTGTCCCTGGAAGATCGGCTTCTTTTTCTTCTTCTTCGACCCCCAATTCCGTGACACTCGAGGATATGGATGTTGGCATCGCTGTATCCACTGGCGCTGCTACAGGTGCATTTTTTCCTCGTAGCTTGCGCATTATACGGTGTTGTCGATTCTGGAAGAAAGGCCATATTTTTAGACCTTCACGCGTGGTCATGGGGCTGAGGGATGATACGCTTCTTCGCTTTCTGCGCAGGCGACCGTACAGAACTACTCCTAGCGAAAGGAGTAGTATAAATATTACTGTACCAAGCACGGATCCAATAATCTTTAACATCTTCTGTGATTTATCCAAGTGGGACTGGTAGGAGACGTTGTCATCCTGTACTTCGAACACGGCACTTGTTGCGAACGGATCCAGGTCGGAACTGCATATAGAAGTCGGCGATAACACCACAGTCAAAAGGTTGCAACCTACATCCCATAAGCGAAGATCTCGTACTTGCTGAAAGGTTTGATTAGGTTGGCGAATTTAAGGGGAGATTGACCAGGCGTACTCGCTGGTACTGAAAGTCATATTGATCATGGTATTGGCAGTGAAGTTGGTGACTTTGAGCACATCGTGAGATACGTCACTATCGGTTTCAAGTCGATGTTTCAGGAGGAATAGATCAGCAGGATCTCCCTCTTCGCGTATGACGGACACTCTGGTACTCTGTCCTGTTAATATGTGGCCTGCGTCCCCGACTTTGATCTGAAGGGTGAAGGCAACCGAAGCCAGGGCAAGATTAGATATCCTGCTAGAAATGAGTGCGTAGTCACCAACGTTGGGCGGAGACTCACACATGGAAAAGAAAGTCAGCCATCCCAAACTATGGGAGGGGGTTTGAAAGAGAGAATGGTTTATGAAGGATCTGTACGACCTTCAATGGTCATACGCACTGATGAGGTGATGGCTTCCACCAAGGGCACCGAAGACGAAAAGCGAAATCAAGGCCTTCGAAAATTCCAGCCAATCCAATCTTAAGAGCGGCGGTCTACTTCGTACCGTCCTGTGTCAAGCAGCAATCACATCTCGATGAACTTGAATGAAAAGATGGTCGCTGATATCAGTGACAGTTCGAGTGATCCAGCTCTTGGTACCATCACATATGGACGAAGAACCGGTTGATGGCGGCATCTCAGAACCTCCGTTGTGATATTATGAGGGTCGTCAACAGACCTAAAAAAAGTCTTTATATATGCGGGAATAGGCACATTGCAAGGGGGTCCTAATAATGAATTAAAAGACAGTGGGTCGATTAAATAATTTCGTGCACCAACGATGGACCTACCTACCTTCACGTGACATCTATGATGTCATTATGCTAAATTTGGGTATCTTTCGACTCAATTCGGTGAATATTTTGCCTGAAATAGCCGTGATATTAATATTGAAAGTGTTTTGAACATAATCTGTACGCTATCAAGTCTAAATCATGGCTATGCTCTAATGGGATGTCGTAATGTCACCATGTCCAGTCAGCAGGGCCACTTTGCAATGGCATTGACTGAGTGTTGGTATCGCTAGGTATGATGCCCTAAGGTAAGTAGCACACTCAGTAGCATATATTGTATCATGTATGCTCTAAAATTTATCCTTGAAGTCCATTCTTAGACCCCCAAAATGGTGGTCAACTTTTTTTTTTCGTGACATCCGGCTGGACCTACCTACCTACCCGGTGTGCCGGGCCGGAATTCCGGTACCCCCTTGGCACATTGAGATTTGATTGAGATAAGAACGAAACCTTGTGGCTATGATTTTCTTAATCACAGTGAAATGGACACCTGTAGATGGATGCCATTGGTGGCACAAGCGGGGAATCGGAGCATCGGAAGAGTTGGCTATGAAAGAATCAATGTTTATGAAGCAACACTGTTGAACTGTCAACAGTGGTAATGATGGTTTCCACAACTTCAGGAATTCAGTGAGCGGCGAGGTCGATGGATACAGGATGATGATGATGGCCGGATATCAAGTAGTGATACTTCAGAAGGTTTAATTTCGAGTCAAAAAGGCGAAACCGAAGGCCCAGACAGAAATTTGTCTTGGTACGGGATATCCAGCACCCAACCAGGCACCGAGTCAAGTTGGCCCTGTAGTCGCGGCATCGCAGCCCTGCATAAATGCCTAAAATTCTATATAACGAGGTGAGCTAATATGTATCAAGAAGCAAAGAATCATAGATATACATATCATGTTGCAGATGGCTGTGCAGAACTTGAACGCTGGAAAACTGGATTGCTTGGCCACCTCTGCTGATACAGCTCAGGCGTAAACTAGTCTACCTCGGTAGCTCGTTGTAAGTAAGGTTACACGTATTAAGATAGATAGATAGATAACCGGTCGTGGTCCCAAAAAGGAACGCCGGGGCTCTGTACGGCGACACAAAATGTGTCACAGACTACACTCCCTCATGCCGCTGTGATATCCTCAGTTACCGACCAAGAACGTCTCACGGATTTGAAGGACATGCAGGGACAAGGGAACGCAATATGATAGGGAAGAACAAGACTATTATATGTACTGCTCAATGTCTGTAAAGCACAAAAAAAACAACGAATACTCGATGCGTTCACATGTCTTCCGAAGCAGCCGTGCCAGTACAAAGAGTCAGCGGTGGTATGTACACAGGGACACTTCGAAAGATTTCGAAAACATGATGAACAAACTGCGCTAAAACAGGCTCTGCAGCAGGTACCTGCAACAGGCACGCCAAGCGGTCGTCGACCCCTAATGTATTCCAAGCTGATCGCAAATGAGGACATATCTGAAAGATATCGACCAAAAATTGCCGTCATAGGGAGGTGAGACCGGGCGCAGCAGCACAGACGAGTAACGCGTGTGGCTCATCCTCTACTGTAACTCGACAGAAGCGCCATAAGCGCCAATCACGGGGAATGTATGGGCGATAACGCTCTGACCACCGAAGGACTTCTACACCGAGCACATGGGAGGATAGAAGCAGACGAGTGAGCGCTTTCCGATGCGCTGGGATCAGTACAGTAAGATAAGAGCGACGAGACATCGTCTAGAGAAACGGTCAAGAAGATGAGATATGAGATAAAAAGGACTGTAACTGTATGGCTACAGTGTTGGCATTGTTATTGGCTGAGGCTGGACGTACTCTTCGCTTGTATCCAGCCCAGATTCTGCCGGCCAGACGTATGCACGTTGTATGCCAAGTATGAGAGATGCGAACCAACGCCCGGTTTACTTTCTCTCCCTCTAGTCCTGGGAGTGCGGGCAAGGATGGCGTCAGACCGAGGTAGAAGCGAGACACCGATTGGGGCCATACCGGGCCGTCTTCAAAGAGACGTTGGACAGTATGAAGAAATGCCCTGCAAATCATCAGAGGTACTTCTGCAGAGTCCAGGACATGAGATGTCTCTGTGATGAGTGTTTGAGCAGCGTGTTGGCGGAAGGAATGATATACAGGGCATGAAACGAAAACATGATGGACTGTTTCAAGTGCATCGCATCCGCTAATACACATGGGGGATACGTTTCCGAAACGTCGGAATCGTGTGTATGCCGTGTCCAGTTGGTCTGATCTCACGTAGAGCTGCACCAAGGCTGAATACGCTGAAGAGGCACGCAAATAAGGGTGCTCAGGAGGAGTGTGCTGGTCGTAAAATGGCAAGAGCATCGTCGTGGCAGGGCGGAAATCTGGGCTAGAATAGAGGGCGGAGGTTAGCATGGACAGCATATAAGAAGGAACACTTGTCTCGATGTAGCCGTCGTTTTCTGAATAATGCATCAATGGATCCATGAAAAATGTAGGTAAAGGTGCGGGAGGTGGCCGAATTTGTAGGCGTTGAGAACCGGAAGCAACACGATCTGCGATGGCATTGATCTGGGAAGGGATTGACGACGAATTGGTGTGAGCAGGGGTGCAGACGATAGATGGGGGATGATGCGGAGGTGGGGAGTGTTGTAGGAGATGGAGGAGCCAATAATAAAGGAATCAGCCGGGAAGGGATGACCATTGATGAGACGATATGAGACTGTGGAGGGCGGAGGATATGATGCGGGTTGAGTTGAGATGGTCGGTGTAAAGAGTCGGGGAACTTCGTAGAAATGCAATGAGTGCGGCAACGCCCGAAAACCGGCACTTCGGCACTATATCGGACCGGCTTGCTGTTTTGCCTGCCTTCTCGTATTTACTCTTACCATTTCTAGTGGCAGCTCGCAGTTATCAACGCCCCCACTTCGTCGTAGTCATCACAGCCGTTATTCACACTTGAACCTAGCTTGATCAGGCTCGCAAGCACGAAATCCCTGTTAAGTCTTCTGATCAGCGAGATTCCAGTACCAGTCAGTCAAGGCCTCTGCGTTCCGTGCGAGCTATTGCGCGTTGCTCTCAACTGTGAGGGGGTGGGCCTTACGTCCACCTTTTCCTCTGGAGTTCTTCGACTTCAATACTGCCAAAGCAGCATACGAAGATCCTGGTCTCAGTATGTTATATCTTGTCCCTCGTGTTCGTGGCTTCGAACCCTTGCCCTTGACTCTAGCTGTATCGTCGATGCAGGTATGTTCGTCCTGATCGTGGGATCGATGGAGCCCCACTTATGCGGTAGATTTTATGTATGGCTGCCGTTATCTCTCCTGAGAGAGCGATTTCAGCTCATGTAGAAGTTGCTCATGCTGACACTGCACTTTTCTTCCGCCATTCGACTTTCGAGGACCATGTTCGCTTGGAAGGGCTTACGGGTCAGTGAGCATTTTATCGTATCTGGCAGCCGTACTAAATCTCCATCAGGTAGTGATTCGAGTGGTACTTTTAACAGGCAGAAGAGCTGATAAGGAGTCATGTTTGCTTCTGAAGTATCGTTCACCGATCTCAGAGAGAAGAATAACCACATTAACAAATCTCACATTTGTCAGTATGATAGTCAACAGTGACGCACATGCAGTTTTCGTTCATAGTATGACGGTACTAAATGTGCTGCGTAATATGTTTACTAGCTGCTGCAAACCGTTAGGTAGGTTGTTGTGTGAGGAAGCGCATCCCCCCGCCATGCTGCTTCCCGTAATCCTTGAAGAACTCCATCATCGGCGCCAAATCCTTCTCTAAAATCGCATCGCCATGCCTATAGACATACATATCCTCCGCCCTCAATGCCATAACGTTTCCTGCCCAACGTATCGCAGCCTCTCCTCCCATAATAGCCTGGATGCAGCGGTTTACTGGAGACCCGTTGATCTTGAAGTGATCATCATATTGCACTGCGAGCGTATATCCCAGCTTCACAGGGGTGGCTCCGAACGTGTCGATAAAAAGTGTGCGAACAAACGCGCTGCGTTCACTATACCACGGCTGCTTTTCCAACATCTGGTATCGCTCTTCTGGCTCCAACTCTTCGTAGTCTGCTCCCCACGACCAGGGGAGTTTTATCATTCGCGGCCTTGTCTCGTTGACGCCGAAGAGGATGGCATCGTAGGTAGTAATTCCGGGCGTACTGACGAGTTTACAGTAAGCTTTATGAGCGGGCCAGTCCTAGCGATTTTTTATGAGTATTAGTTCGAGTGCGTGGGCGGATACACACCTGTGCTTGGTGCTCGCTGCTGCAATAAGCAACATTGTGGCATTGAGAGCATCGGCTCCTGCTTGGAGCGTCGCAGATGAGGCAAATGGCTACCATGGTTGCGAGGTAAGTCGTGGTTGGGAAAAAAGTGCAAGGCCGATTCACAGCCGGTGGCGTTTACCTCGCTCTTGGATCTTCCATCGTGTTCTAGATTTCCGCGGTGTCTAACAACCATTTATTTCTCAAGAGAAACGTCGACTTGGGCGTAAGGGGTTGCGATCATCGTGATTCAAGAACCACATTCGCTGTATTCTTTGCGGTGGGGGAATGAGGAAATGTCATACAAGTTAAGCAAGACGGCGCAGGACGCTGCATTAAATCGTTTAGTTTGCGATATAGCCAAAGCGAACAACGTTTATCACTATCATAGCGGCGTTATTCGCAACATACAGGAATGAAAACGGCATCAGCGTCTGAGAACAAAGCAGTAACTGAGCAAGCAACAATGACGAAGCTAAGATCACTTCAGAAGCTGTGACAGGCGACGACTGAAGTCTGGTCATGTAATTAAACATCTTGCAGCCAAGGATGACTGAGCAGTTCCTTAGCGGACTCTCGGTCTTCGGGACGAAGTCGAAGCATGCGAGATAACATATCAGCGAAGAGGTCCGGCTCGTCCTCAGGGTTCAAGGGAAATCGTGTTTGAACCATTGTTCTCAGATCAGTTGGTATGATATTGTATTTCAGGAATTTTCCTGGACGGTGCTGTCATGGAATGCTAATCAAATGAATGCCCGCAGTGCTTACCAGACGTGTCGAAATACTGGGAGACTGAACCTCCCGCGGGCCAGAACGTCGACTGGGAACGTTGTAAGTCCGTTGACGGAAAGCATCTGCCCGAGCATATCGTCGTCTCGGGACCATCGGGATGTCGCTTGGGGATTGAAGAGCCAGCAATATGTCACGAGCTCAAATGCCTGGAGGATAAACTGTTATTAAACGAAGCAGGATACAAAACACGTTAGAACGTACGAGGCAACCCAGGTTCCATATGTCAGCAGGCGCGCCGTATGGAATGCCGAGATAAACCTCTGGTGCACGTAAGGCATATGGCTGTATGACTCCGTCGAAGGGACTTTCTATTTTGCTAGATAAAAGGATATAAGAGAGGCTATGATCAAATTCCAAGAATCGCATACCAACGCCAAGGTCACTTATGACGACTGCCGATGGTCCGAGAGAGACGCGGGACAAGTCGATTGTGGGTGATTCAGAGGCGCCCAGTAAAGGTATGCCTTTGGTGTCCTCCATGTGCAAGAGCAGATCGTCTAACTTCAGGTCTACGCTGAATTGGCTTCAGAGGAACGAAACAGAGGGAGGATACGCTTACCGGTATGAACTATGCCGCATTCATGATGAAGAAAGTCCAAGCCGAGAAGTAATTATTTGATGATTCGTTTGCACATAGGTATAGGAAACTTGTTCGGCAGGGTCTTGCGCGTCAGCTCTTCTAAGGACATGCCAAGGACCTCGAGAACAAGGCAGCTATGAGTACCAAAAGAGCTGGAAAGCGAGAAGTTGTCGAGCATTCGAATTACGTGCTGCTGTTCATTGGCTCCTCTCGCTTCGCGGACTTTCTGGAGAAAAGAAACTTCCAACTGGGAGTATTTTCCTGCATCCGTCGAGTCTGCACCTGTAATTTTGAGGACGACGTCGTGTCCAGTTCTATAGCCTGGGTTAGCTGAAAAGCAATAAAATTACAAACGAGGAGAATGTACACGGCGTCTTTAGAGAGCCAAATGGTGGAGCGAGTTCCAAAGCCTTCACCTAACCCGCGTGTGATGGAATATTGGTTGTTGAGAACATCTCCTTCTCGGGCAGGATGCAGAAGTACCTGAGGCGTCGAAGTAGATTTTCCAGGTAATTTGGAAGTGAGAAAGCGGCGGATGCTAGACAGCATCTACGTTGATAGGGCAGACAAAAAATGATCGCCACAATCGGACCGAGCCGGAAATTACCGAAGCTGTCGTCGATTTGAGATACTCGGCGGATGCGGCATTGTAGACCCACACGCGTCATTACTATCACGTCACTTTCTTTCTTCCCTTCCCCCTCATGTTCTGTTCTTCTGTCTCCGTTTTGCTCTTCTCCCGTGACGACAACGGCGCACCACCATTTTCTCCCCCAAAGTCAGGCCGAATTTCTCTCATATAGCAAGCAACGGATGCCTGCAACTCTGAAGACCTCAAGCGGAACGAAATGAGACGAATTTGAACCATGCTGCTCCTCGGCGCGAGTCATTGTACGTTCTACTATATGTTTCATGTCTTTTATTGACCGATAACGGTTTAGGTAACATTTCTGTCGCGTTACCTTGTCGTTCGACTCCCCCCCGCAATATGGCTCAATGCTCTGGCATAAAGCAAGATCTCTCGGTCGTTGTTCAGACAATGTATGACTGGTGCAAGCCTCGTGCCAATTTCGACGAAGATAGACTGGATGGCCTTGTACCCGACATGCACCTTACAGGTACGACAGAATTGATATGACCTTCGTCTTTCTTATTGATTCCGCAGTTGTCGCCTCAGTTGGACGATATCATTCGGAAAGCTTCTGCCCCCGAGGATGGGTAGCCACGAGCGAATCTGCCTCAGCACCGACCAGGAGCTTAGAAGCAGCCGAACTAGTCATAACATTCGCAGTGGCCTCGGACGCAAACATATTCGTACGGCTCTGCAACCACTGTGGCCCTGGGGTATCCGATCCCCGCCTCCTCTCTCATGCTCGACAACAGCGGAGTGTTGAAATTTCATGCGACTGCGTTACGGTTCCAGGTGAGTTACCTTCCCAGTGTACCGTCATAACTGAACTCATCAAAGGTGCCCAGTTACGTCTCGCAGGCATCGAATCCATGGAGGACAAATGCTTACCTTCGCTGATACATACAGCTCGACAATGGTCACGGAAGAAGTGTCTTCTTGCAAGCGTCATCTGGCAAATGATTTCGACTAAGATGGCGGAATCATCTGCAGTTCTCCAATTCCCATGTAGATTCCCATGCGATGGCCGGTTGTTTTTTTTGGTGCCGGCTGTCCTGTTTTCTCCCTTGCCTGTTGTGAGCTCTTTTCAGCGTCGTCAGGTCTATATTGACTGTTTTCATTAAGTGTTCTATATCCTATACTGTTTCGCTCTGCGTCTTTCGATAGGAGGGCAAGCGTAAAGAGCATGTCGTACTGTATATCGTAACGAGGAGGTGTGTACCCGACGAGATTCTTGCTGAGGAGAACCGAGGCTAGGTTTCTCGAGAATGTTAGAACCATCGTTACATCGGTGATATCTGTAACACCAATACTGTCCAGATACGCTTCTATCAAGCTGGTATGCATAGACTTCTTTCTGGTTCGACATGTGCTGATGTCATGATTCAGAATATTCGCGATGTTAACTTTCTCCGAACGGCTGGTCGATCGTCAAAAGTATCAAAGCTTCCCGAAGGCATCCGGTAGACAAGCGGACGACGAACTAGTTCCCGAACTTGAAGCTTGAAGGGCAACGACTTCTACGTAGATCATGCTGCCTCTCAGGGTTTTATTAGTTTCTCGACTACTATGAGCGTGTATCCGCTGGACAAGGGGTACTAGCTATTTCTCCGATGGTGCCACTACCCTCAGGGTTCGAGTGATCGCTATTCACTAGTGCAGCGCAGGTTCGTCCATCATTCTTCCTTTCTTCCCTTCTTACTCACTGTAACATCCGTAGCATCAACCCTGCATATGACAGCGACAAACCGCTTCCCCCAAACTTATCATCTTTGGAACGTGACTCATGACGTCTTGCCGACAACGTTCGTATTCATACATCGTTGTACGCACCAATTTGGGTGTCAACAACGTTCGGCACTAAGCACGATGCTATCACGGCTTTCGCGTCTCCAGACATGCCTTGGGAATTCTGGGATAGATCTGGAAGTCGGCAAAGGGATCGAGAGTCAATACAAGAGAAAGCCAACATCGCGCCGCCGATTTCTTCCCCTATTCATCGTGTTCCTCAATTTCCTGGTTCAACGTGATCCGCGCCACTCAGTCCTCCAGCCGATGCCGTTCAATCTCGGTCTCGAGCTCGCCTGCTTGTTTGAGCGACGAGACAGCAGAAATCCTTGACTCCAGAGCCCAAACGGAGTAGCTCATCGCAAACCCAGAATGGAGCGTGATAGGCCCTCCTCTGCCTTATGTTTTGGGCAAGATGAAATTATCCGGGGAGGAGAAGCCTAACGCTTTTAGATGGCTAGATTTGACGTGCGCCGCGCGCATGATATACTAATAACCTGGACATGTCGTTCCTGTTCAATACCGAGTTGGTCACCTGTAGCCACCCAAGAAGCCGATCCTGACAAGTATTATCTCACACGTATTCGGAGGAGAGGGATGCTTGCTGATGGATTTCTGATGGTGGAATTTTTTCGCTCCCAATGCTGATCCTCTCCTACAACGGTCCTCAAATATCTACTGTTACTCCTGCCCAATAGTCAGCTTGGTGCCCACTTTGTGCATGCGGCTCGTCCAGCTTGAAATCCGTCGTCTTTTGGTCAAGGTACCAACCGGCCGAAAACCCGATTTCAACTAGATCCGCTTCGGATCATATCTGCTTATCAGATAAGGAACCAAATCGTTATCAGGCGACATCTATGGCGCGTAACCATATGGCTCGTAGAAAAGAAGGGGCTATATAAGCTTCTCTCCTTTCCTTTTACCCGCCATGGAGGATCACAAGAGTGTTTCCAGCGAGGTTCCCCACCTTGGCGCCGAGGAGGTTGTCGCCCACAGCGGTGTTGCCAAGATCAAGGCTACACATAAGGTATACGGCAAATATTCCAGGTGGTTCCTGTTTATTGGGTTCGTCTGTTGTCTTTTGCTCCTGTTTGTCGTTCTCATGAGGTCGTAGGCTGGGTCTGTCCGCGTACATCTATTCTCTCGATGGACAAACTACCTGGGCGTACCTTGCATTCGCGGCGTCGTCTCTGAACGACCACAGTCTTATTAGTACCATCCAGGTCGCGCAGTCTATCATCAGTGAATTCCACTCGTCTTAGCTGAGAAGGCAGAGCTGACTGAAGTCCTTCTAGTTGCGTGCGGGAAGCCTGTCATTTCCAAGGTTGCCGATGTTCAGTCAAGAGGAACAGCCTACGTTGCAGTTTGTGGGTAACTGTTCGTCGGGTTTTATAAACGACTAACAAGCTTTTCTAGTGATATTTTATGTCATCGGTGCGCAGCAGCTGTCCATCACGTTTACGTCAATACTAAACTGTAACCCAGGTTATATCGTCATCGCCAGCGCCCACAGCATCCAGACGATAGCCGGAGGTATTATCTTGTATGCTATGTGAGTCGGCATATTAGTTCCCGAAGATCATAATTGACGCTGCTTCTCTAGCGGTTACACAGGCCTCCAGCTCCTTACTCAGATCATCATTGCTGATATAACTACCCTGCAATGGCGTGGTCTCGTCTCTGGGTTGATGTCCCTCCCGTTCATCATCAATGCTTTCATTGGCAGCAATATCAGTACGCAGGTCCTCCATGGGGCAGGGTGGAGATGGGGATGTGAGTTTAGTTTCCAGCGGACCGTGTTTTGTGATTGATTCCGCTTACTACAGATGGAATGTTCGCGATCTTGATTCCCGCGTCCTTGGCTCCACTCATCGTCACCCTTGTTTGGGCGGAGAGGAAGGCAAAGAGACTTGGTTTGGTGCCGAAGAAACCAGTCGAAGTATGTATCCTGTGCATTTAACCTGTTCTGATACTGACGATGTGTGAAAGAACAAACCTTTGTATAAGAAAGCCTTCGATCTTGCATCTCAGCTCGACATCTTCGGCCTGGCACTCATAGGAACGAGTGTCGCGTTGATCTTGCTACCTCTGACGCTAGCGGACAATGCAAAGGGGCAATGGCACAATCGTAGGTGGTAGTTCCTACATGTTTTTCCACTCATTTACGAGGTTATGCTTAGCATCAATGATTGCCATGGTGGTTATTGGCTGTGTACTCTTCCCTCTTATCGGTCCATGGGAGTTCAAGTTCGCTAAGTTCCCAGTGGTTCCATGGAGATACGTCAAGAATCGAAGTGTCGTTGGTGCAAGTTTGATCGGTTTCTTTGATTTCGTGCGTTCTTCTCCGTCTCCATAATTCAATAAGCTCACATCCGACTAGATCTCGTTCTACCTGACATATGTGTACCTATACTCCTTTGTTCTCGTTGTGAAGCCATGGTAGGAGCGACTTCTGCGTTTCCATCCACATCGTCTGATGTTGTGTGTGCAGGACTTTGATCAACGCGACATACTTTATACAGACTCAATCCGTTGGGCTCACATTCTTCGGTATCTGTGCTGGTGCAGCGATGCGTTATTTCCATCGATACAAGGTACTCTTTCTGATGGCATGCACATATTTCCGCCTTCTCACTCGCCTCGTCACAGCTGATGCTCATCATTGGCCTATGTATCCGATTGCTTGGTGTTGGTCTCATGATTCACTCCCGCGGCGCCAACGCGTCAGACGCAGAGATCGTTTGGACTCAGATCCTGCAAAGTATGGGCGGCGGCATGGCATCAGTCACGATCCAGGTAGCTGCTCAAGCTAGTGTTCCTCATATCGATGTTGCTATGGTTACTGCGGTCGTGCTTCTCTTGACTGAGATCGGGGGAGCTATTGGAAGTGGTATCGGTGCGTTTTGCTGCGCCCCGTATCGAATTCTACCTGATGATCTTGTTCCCCAGCTGGCGCTATCTGGACAGGGATGATGCCAGATAAATTAGCGAAGTACTTGCCTTTTGTCTCGGCTGAGGAACGAGCGGCTCTTTATGCGAGCATTACTACGGTGACTACATACCCGAGGGGTAATCCTATCAGGGAAGGCGTCATTTCAGGTTCGTCGTTCACTTTATCGGAGCATCCCAAGCGTTACTGGTCCTTGCACGTCTAGCATATTCGGACGTAATGAAAGTCATGCTCATTATTGCAGCCGTCCTGAGTGTTGTGCCTGTGATAGTAGCGTTCTTTATGCCGAACTGGTACCTCGGCGATACGCAGAACGCTGTCGATAAGGAAGGTTTGGCTGGCGAGAAGGTCCCAGAAGACCAGAAGGTGTAAAATGATGCGTTTCCTTACTTTTCTATTCGTAGCATTATCGCAAACCACTATTATCGAAAGTTAGTAACGACTTTTGTTGAATGGATGTATGTGAATAAATGTCAAGTAAATTACAGTTTACAGAAACTACAGTAACGTCTATGTATGTTTGAAACTATGAATCGTATCATTGGCTAGCAAGGTCGGCGTCCTAACTTTACATCAAAACCAGGACCCTTGAAACTTCGACCGGGACATCATCGGTATATCTCAGTGCCCAAGGCGATACTAGCGCATCTTCCAGACCTACGATCCTCGCCTTTAGCGCATCAATCTCCTCTTGCGCATCCCCACCCCGCCTCAATTCCGTCTTCAGCCTGATCAGCTCAGTTTGCTGCTTCACCAATATGTCGTGTAGTTCCATCTGGCGGTCTGTGTGTGCAAGAACGGGAGACGGGGTCTCGGATCTATTGCCTGGCAGAGCGGGCAGCGAATATTCAGAGCACTCTTTCTTAGGATCGGGACCGGTTGCAGTATCTTCCGTCTCGATAGAACTACCGGAGGCACGTTTTTCTATATCCGCAAAGTTCGTATAAGTGTTCGAATCCTTTGCTGTGGGGGTGAGAGGCGAGAAAGATGCATTCGAGTGTTTTCTGACCATCCTGTCGCGATGAAATGTGCCACGATATTTCCTTCTGTGCTGTCGCCGGAGGAGAGTGTATACGAGGGCGCCTAGAAGAAGTAACAGGAATACAAAAGATCCAACTGTGGCACCAACAATTTTGGGTGTTTCGGATAGCGAGCCAGAGCTAGTAGCGGAAGAGGTGACGTTTGGATTAGAGCTGGAAGAGGACGAAAGGGGGGACTCAGATGATGTCGGGGACCTGGAAAACTGATCAGGAAACGTTTCACTCACAAAATATGGAGGGCCACTCACACAGCATCACTAGCGTAAGAGAGGTCAGATGAAGATGTAAGGGCGATATTAGTTCTAAAGTGATAGTCACGTTTACAACTAAATCACGAATTCTTCGAAATTGCGCACGTTGAAGGACTACCAGCGTTGAAACTGCTTTCAGCATCGTGGGAAGAGCTATTGAAATGTGAAGGGTTAGTGACATGATAGATGGATTTGCGGCAAGGAAGCGAACCTTTGAACCGTTGATCCTCCAAGCGAGGAACTCGAAGCGGAGCTCGATGATGCCTGATCAGTTGAAGAGAGTGAAGTAGTTACTGCGGCTGTACTCGTAGAGCTGGCCCTTTCCACAGAGAAATGATAAGCTGGGCTCATTGGGACTAATAGAGAGCAATGAACGTACGTAGACGACGGTCTAAGACTGATATTATTTCCGGCGTCTGGATTGATAGCAAGAATTGGCGGGCTTCCCCCCATATTTGAGCCTTTGTTGTCTATTGCTTCAATGGTATATCCTCTGTGATAGAACAGAGACAAATTGAAAGATGAAACTCGAGAGGTTCAATTGACAGACTACGAACGCACCCAGGAGATGGAAAATTGAGTGTCACCGTTCCGGAGTGGGTGGCATTATTATCAGGCTGTATTTTAACTCCTTGACCAGACGATTGGGAGCTATTTGTTTGTTCAAAGTGGGATACTTCTTGGTCGCCATCAGTATGCCAGGCCAGAGGGAAGGGTATCCCAACTGTCGCATTCAAGTTCCCTTCAACAGAATCGAAACTAAATCCAGCCGAAAGAGCAAAATGGAAAGAAAATCTGTCCGGTGAGGTTGATTACTCAATGCGCTATATTGCTGCGATGAAAGACACGACTTACAAAATAATCCGGAGCGACATTGCGCCTTTCCTAGCCAGTGTATGTACAGTATTTGACAGGATGGGTGCCGCGGTCAAAACGCTGGAGAGTATAACTGCATAGGAATACTGCTTTGAGAGAAATGCCGAAACTATCAGTGGTCAGGGATACAAATGAGCCATAGCACACCGCTATTGAGATACGAACGTGGGATGGGAATCATGAGGTGGGTGCCGATGGGTGTACCATTCAAATATCAGAATGTTCAACACGAAAGCTGTTTCCGGATACCGCGCAATGATTGAATGAATGCTGATGCGGCGAACGGTCACAATACTGACATAGCATTGATCATCGATGAACTTGAAACTTGATGCGGAGCCGGTTCATTATATCAACTGTCAATGATCGTGAGAAAATACTCGAGGAGCTTATAATAGCGCGAAATTGTACGTCGAAGGAGGTGAGAAGGGATCCCAGCGTTTGTGGCGGAGGTAACTACTAACCATGGAATGGTGATGGATTTCAAACTTCGTGAGAGCGGCCACGTGACTAATTGGTTGTCGTGTCGAATTGGCGTCAAAGCCCCTGAATCCCAACAGGCATAGCGGAGAATTGAATCCTGAGATACTGGCACCTTTAGGTTTAGAATCACACATTGCAGATACTACTATAGCACGAAAATGAATAGCAAGAAAATGAAACAAAATTTCATCCAAAAATGCTGCCACCTTCTCTAAACTACTTTTTAAAACGACAGGATCTCTTCGGCCATTTCATCCTTCGTTTCACGAGGTCGTAGTGCTGAAGTACTTGCGTGCGATATCGGCTCTTCATCCGGAATTTGACGACTGTCGGATTCGGCTAAACCTCTGAGAGGCAGATGTGCGGGGGAATGATCATCTTGGGATACAGAAATTGGACTTGCAGCCAACGCCCGCCTTTCCCCCTTGCCTGGAAGATGGTCCGTTGACTCTGCATCTTCGGTTCCTAATTCTGCCATCCCAGAATCTATTGATGACAAAATCGGTGCTTCGGGCCCTACTTCCACTGAAGCTGGTACAGGTGCATCTGGTCCTCGCAGCTTGTGCATCACGCCATGCTCCGGATCCTGGGAGGAAGGCTGTATTTGTTGGTCTCGAAACGCAACGATGGATCTGGGTGATGATCGGTGGTTTCTATTCCTGCGTAGGCGGCGATAAACAACTACTCCTACAGAAAGGAGGATGAAGAACAGTATAGGGCCAATCACGGCTCCAATTATTGTCGATGTGTTGCGTGGTTTATGCGAGGAGTTGTTAGATGTAGATGCAGGGGTGGAGGCAGTTCTAAAAGTGATATTCATGTCTACAGCTAAAGCGTGAACTGCTGAAAAAAACGCACATTGAAGGACTACCAGCGATCGAACCGCTTTCGGTGATATGCGAGCTATTGAAATGTGAAGGTTGAGAAAAATACATTTACTGATTTTACGGCAAGGATGGAGGACCACTTACGCAGCATCACTAGTGTAAGAGAGGTCAGATGAAGGTGTAAGGATGTTGGTAGTTCTAAGTTATAGTCATATTTGCAGCTAAAGTATGAATTCCTCGAAATTGCGCACGTTGAAGCACTACCAGCAGTCGAGCCGCTTTCACTGATTTGGGAGAGCTGTTGCAATGTGAAGGGTGAGTGGCATACATAGATGGATTTTGCGGCAAGGAAACAAACCTCTCAGTGGTTGATACTCCAGATGAGGAACTACGAGCAAAGTTCAATGATATCGGCTCAGAAGAGGGGTTGAAGCTTTGAGTACTTATTATGACCGGGGCTGAAGAGCTGGCCAGTACCACGAAGAAATCAAGAGTCACTCTCGTTAGGAGTAATAGAGAACAATGAACGTACGTAGATGACGGCGTAAGACTGTGATTATTTTGGGCATCTTGATTACTAGCAAAAATTGGCGAGCTCGTCGCTCTTATTGAGTGGTTGTCGACTATTATTTCAACGACATATGTTCTGTGGTATGAAAGAGATAAATTGAAAGGTGAGACTCGAGAGATTCAATTTACAGACCACCAACGCACCCAGGAGCTGGAAAATTGACGGTCACTATACCGTCGGTGGTACCATTATCAGGCGGTGTGAAAGGTATTAGCTCTCCTTGACCAGCCGGTTGGGAGACATTTCTTTGCTCAAACTGAAATTCCAGTGGGTCGCCTGGATCCCTATGCCAGGTCAGAGTGAAGGGTATCCCAACATTCGCATTCTCTTCAACATCAACGAAACGAAAGCCAGTCGAAATAGTAAAATGGAAACAAAATCTGTCCAGTAAATCTGAATCCTTCTACGGCTGTAGTAATAGGATGAAATCCACGACTCACATAATAAACTGGACCAGCATACCGCCTCACCCAGCCGGTAAGCGAGACGCCACGATTGTGTATGCGTAATAAGTGGGGAGAGCAAGTACCGCGCGTCAAACTAGATAAAAGTATGGACTCAGCTGCACTGCCTCTGAATATTTCTTGGCGGAGACACACGAACCATCAGTTTGTTCCGGAGACAGGTAATATATCAACATCGCGATACGAACATCCGAATGAATGAAAGGTGATCCCTGTATCAGTCAGGTATTGGATGTACAACAGAGAAGCTATTCTTTGCGAAGATACAACAAATTCTGATATGCAAAGGAGGGATGGTGAGTAGCTGACCACTGACAGGATGGAGAGAATCAGGTGCTGTTGGTTTTTGATCTCAGTCTTGAATTTTCATTGGATGCATCGCGCGTTAACAGTTCCACCAGTACCATGTTAAGTACTGTCGATGTTGGAACCGTTGGCACGGTCCAGTTCCTCGGAGTACGGCTTCCAAGCTTCTCCCGTTTTACATCCACCACTCACTAGTGATTTCCCGAATCCCCGCTCTCTCCCAGACCTGTCACCTAGCACGACAGTCGCAATGTGTGTACCAGAATAACATTAGATATTGGGGTGTACATATTCAACAAGTGAATCCACCCATCATTACGGTCGTGGAATGCGTCTATAACTTGTATTCATAGCAGAATGGCACATTGTACCATGGTCAACGAAATTGGTGAGACAGGAAGGGAACTTGAGAAGATGTTTCTGAAGCACGGCATTCAACAGTGGTAACAACAATTTCCGTACCTCCAAGAAGGAGTGAGCGTGGCTCAGATATATATCAAGACGAAGGAGGGAGAAATATACCTGGCATGTTTCAGAGGGCGCAGGAGCTTCGACTTCGTACTTTGGCTTGGCTGCGTAGGAACGCAACAAAGCGGCAATGCCCGGTACTTGGCTGATGCGGCATGGCAGACGTCGTTACCGTTACGTCACTTTCTCTCTTCCTTACTCTCACGTTCTTTCCGTCAAACTGAGTCGAAACATACTTCTCTTTCTCCGTTTTGCTCTGTTCCGCGAAAGAGTATACCTTGGTATGAGAAGGTCTTCGATCTCACCTCAAAGCTCGATGTCCTCAGTCAGGTGTTCATGGCAACCAGTGTCGCGTCGAGCTGGCTTCCCCTGACACTGGCGACTATGCGAAGGGACAATAGCGCAACCGTGCGTGATATTGATTGCACTTTTTCTCCTTTTTTTCCCCGTCGTTTATGAGGCTATGCTTAGCATTAATGATGGCATTGCTTGTGAGCTCCTCCGCTTATCGGTTTCTTTGACTTCGTGCGTCCGCCTTCGCTTTCTTGATCCAATAAGTTCACATGCGACTAGATCTTGTTTTACTTGACCTACGTGTACCTGTACTCCTTTTTCTTGTCGTGAAGCCATGGTAGTAGTGACTTTTGTGTTTTCATCCACATCGTCTGATGTTGTGTGTCCAGGACTTTGATCAACATGACCTACTTTACTCAGACCCAATCTGTGGGACTCACATTCTTCGACATCTGTGCTGGTGCAGCCATGCACTATTTCCATCGATACAAGGTACGCTCTCTGATGCACACACATTCCCGCCTCCTCACTCACCTCGTCTCAGCTTATGATCATCGGCCCATGTATTAGATTCCTCGGTGTTGGTCTGATGGTTCACTCACGCGGGGCCAATGCGTCAGACACGTAAATCGTTCGGACTCTGATCTTGCAAAGTATGGGCTGTGGCATGGCGTCCGTCACGATCCAGGTAGCTGCTCAAGCTCGTGTTCCTCATCGATGTTGCCATGGTAATGACAGTTGTGCTTCTCTGGACTGAGATCGGGGGAGCCATTGGAAGTGGTATCAGTGCGTTTCGTTGCATCTTGTATCGTATTATCTCTGACGATCTTCTTTCTCAGCTGGTGGTATCTGGACCGGAATGATACCGAATAAATTAGCGAAGTGCTTGCCGTGTTTCGGCCGAGGAACGAGCAGCTCTTTATGCGAGTATTACTATGGTAACGACATACTCGAAGGGCGATCCCATCCGATTAGGTGTTACCTCTGGTTCGTCGTTTGCTTTAGCAAAGCGAATGATGAGTTACTGATCAAGTATATTGCAGTTTACAGAAAATATGGTAATGTCTCTGTATATCTGAAGTTGGCGGTACATCTATTTCACGTACGCGTCTGTATTGTCTGTGTATGTTTGAAGCTATGAATCGTAGCAATGGCTATGAGGGCCAGTGTCCTCATTTTTACATCGAATCCACGACCCTTGAAACTTCAACCGGCACGACATCTGTATATCCCAGCGCCCAGGGCGATTTCAACGCCTCCTCCAGACTTATGATTCTCACCTTGAGCGCATCAATCTCCTCTTGCGCGTCTGCACCCCGCCTCAATTCTGTCTTCAGCCTGATCAGCTCAGTTTGCTGCTTCATCAATACGTCATGTAGTTCCATCTGGCGGTCTGTGTGTGCGAGTACGGGAGATGGCGTCTCGGATCTATTGCCTAGCGGAGCGGGCAGCGAATACTCCGAGCACTCTTTCTTAGGATCGGGACCAGTTGCAGTATCTTCCGTCTTGATAGAACTACCGGAGGCACGTTTTTCTATATTCGTAAAGTTTGTATATGTATTCGAATCCTTTGCTGTGGGGGTGAGAGGCGAGAAGGATGCATTCGAGCGTTTTCTGACCATCCTGTCGCGATGAAATGTGACACGATATTTGTTTCGATGCTGTCGCCGGAGGAGTGTGTATACGAGGGCGGCTAGGAATAACAAGAATACAAAAGATCCGACTGTGGCACCAACAATTTCGTGTGTTTTCAATCGCAAACTATCGGAAGACGATGCATTTTGACTCGCGTTCGTAGGGGGTGAATCCAAAAAATCCGATGAAGTCTGGGTCCTGGATAGGCATATAAATTATAAGGCGGGGAATTGTACGAAATTAACAGACAACGCACGTGGATTGGGTGTCCCTTGGAGTGCTAGCAGCTCCAGTCGTCGTAGTGCTGAGGGGATCCCGATTAATGACGTTAATCAGTGGGCTCATCGGTACCAAACCGCTTTTGTCGACTATCACATCAATGGTATATTTTCTGAGGTATGAAATCGTGAAATTGAATTATGAGACTCGAGAGGTTCAAGTTACAGACCACGAACGCACCCAGGATTTGGAAAATTGACCATCACTGTCCCGTCGGTGGTACCACTATCAGGCGGTGTGAAAGGTACTGGATCCCCCTGACCCAAATATTGAGTGCTATTTCTTCGCTTAAATTTAAATTCTTGTGGGTCGCCTTGATCTCTATACCAGGTCAGAGTGAGGGATGTACCAACTGTCGCATTCCCTTCAACAGGATCGAAATGAAAGCCGGCCGAAGTCGTAAAATGAAAACAAAATCTGTCCAGTAAGTTTGAATCCTTCTCCGCTGTAGTAGTAGGATAAAATACACGACTTACAAAATAAACTGGACCAACATATCACCTCGCCTAGCCAGGCAACGAGACGTGGCAATTTTGGTGCACAATACGTGGCGGGCAGAGTGCCGTGGTGAAATGTCGGAGAGTATAGACTTGGATGCACCGCATATGAATGCAGCTCCGAGAGAAAAGCCGAAACTATCAGTGGTCAAGGATACAGATGGACTGTCGTACACAGTTATGGAGATATGAATGGGACGGGAATCATGAGATAGAAGTCGATCAATGCACCATTCACTCTGGTAAAAAGCTATGTTCGGACTGGCAAAAACGGCGAAAATGGGTGGATAATATATGACATTTTGACCAAGGCGCTGTGATAAATAAAAATAAGCCGGGTTCCCTTCCATGGTAAAGCCCACATGTTTTGCTGTGGTCAAAGACTGTCGAAATTTCATCTATATTCCAATTATTTCTATCACATTTTGACAGACACTAATTAGTCACCTGCAAGGAGTGATTCAGATATCAGAATGTTCAACACGGAAGCCGTTTTGTGTACCGTGCAGTGAATGGTGAAGCGGTGAGGGTGAACGGTTATAACGCTTACACAGCATTGATCATCGATGAACGTGAAACTTGATGCGGAGATGGTTTACCATATGAACTGTCGACGACAAGTCGATGAGCATGCGAATATGTATAAGCAGCTTATTATAGCGTTAAATTCCACGTCGAAGTGGGCAAGGAGGGATGGCGATTGTGGCAGAGGTAACCATAGATTTTAAGTGACTTCGTGAGAGCGACCACGTGACTGCTAAATTGTCGCGTCGAAGCCCCCAAATCCCAACACGCATAACTGAGACTTGAGTCCATCAAAAAACGCTGCTACATTCTTCCAATAACAGTCACTGATGCTGAACTAATTCTAAAGTCGACTAAGTGTCAATGCTACATGTCTGTTCATATTCTCTACGCTTCTTTAACATATGCTGGAGGCGGCTCTGTCTCGTTATCTTGGATCCATACAGACGGTCTCTCGATGACAAACTGCTGGATCTGGGTACGCAACCTCATAATCTCTTCTGCCATTTCATCATTCGTTTCATAAGATTGTAGTGCCGAAGTCCTTGCGTGAAAGGTTGACTCTTTCTTTGGACTTTGATGACTGTCCGGTTGGGCTAAAACTCCGGAAAGCGATGGTGGGGGGAATTATGATCTGGGGATACAGATATTGGACTTGTGACCAACACCCTCCTTCTCACCTTGCCTGGAAGATGGTCCATTGACTCTTCATCGTCCCTTCCTGATTCTGTCATCCCAGAGTTTATTGATGACAAAATCGGTACTTCGGGCCCTACTTCCGCTGAAGCTGGTACAGGTGCATCTTGTCCTCGCAGCTTGTGCAACACGCCATGCTCCGGATCCTGGGAGGAATGATGTATTTGTTGATCTCGAAACGCAACGATGGATCTGGGTGATGACTGGTGCTTTCGATTTCTCCGCAGGCGGCGGAAAAGGAGTACTCCTACCAAGATGATGAGGAGGAATAGTATAGAGCCAATCACAGCTCCGATGATTGTCGATGGGTTGCGGGGTTTATGCGAGGGCGAGCTGCTGGATGTAGACGC